ACAACCGAAGTTGGAACAGCTCTTTCGAGACATTGGGCCAGAAGACTGTGGTCCCAAAGAAAAAGTAAGTAAATGAGGTGAACCCTAGAGTAACTCTGGCTTTCTGACTAGAGGTGCTTCTTGGACTACAGTGCAGGTGAGCACAGGTGACAGACATTGGGATTCACAGAAGCCGAGGTGGCTGGAATTTGGAGGGCAGTGTACCAAAGAGGAGAGAATTACACAAGGAAAAATCTCCATAAATTTGCATAGGTTCTTTCTGTTGCTGAATAATAAGCCATGATAAATGCGGTGAAACTGTATAAGGCAGGCATGCACCAACCAAGAAGCTGTAAGCTGGATAATTCCCAGGGACCTTGAGGGACTGATAAACAGAGTGAAGAGTGAATAGTCTTCAGTGAACATCTAAAGACATTCAGTAGAGACCCCAGAAAGGTCACACCTTATAATAATGTGTCAGTCTGGGTCCATGAGGAGATAGAAATAACACAGTGGGTTAAACTGGTGGTGGTGGTGGGGATTCCTATAAAGAATTATTAACTCTGATAAAAAGTGACAATTCTGTATGGTACTCTAGGGCTGAGTAAGTGCTCAAGAAAGGACAAAACTGGAAGGGGTTCAGAGCTCACTGGAGAAAGAATAGTTCAATCCACTGGAGAGCACAGAAGTTTGCTGCTTTGCCTGGGCTACAGCTGCTCTGCCATCTCTAAGCCATCAAGAAGAAACCCTCTGTAGTGCAGGCAGAACACTGGTAATTAGTAACAGGTAGTATGGGCATGCAGAGAGAGTAGTGGCTCTGTGGGCCACAGATGAACCACACAGGGGCAGCAGCTCAGTAGAACCTCCAGCTCATAGACGCAGTGCAAGGAGTCATAGAGGGTGCAGGAACTCAGTGGGAAACCTCCTGGATGCAGGCAAACCATGACTGTGAGACTAAAGAGGGAATTGGAGTACTAGTGTGAACAGGAGGCTTTGAGGTGGTGATATAAACAGGAGATCTTTGGGGGCACCGTCTTTATGGAGAGGGCAGCAGGACATTTATCGCAATGTGAGAATGGGGCTATGAGGTCCATTGAATAGATAAAAAAATTAATGAACTTCTTGCCAGATAAAGTCACAAGAAAATGAAAATACAGACCACTATTCCTCCTGAATATAGACACTCTTGAACAAAATTTTAGCAAGTCAAATCCAATAGTACATAAAATTTATAATACACAATGGCCAAGTAGGCTCTAACCCGAGAATGCAAGGCAGTTTTAACAATTGATTCTATCAGTTAACAAAGGAGAAAAGCCATGCAGTCACTTCAACTGATACAGAAAAACATCTGACAAAATTCAGTAATCACTGATGATTAAAAACTTTTAATGAAGGGACTTTTTCAACTAATAAAGGGTGTCTATGAAAAATCTACAGCTAACACCCTACTTCCTGGTGAAAGACTATTCTTACTCTAAGGTGGAGAACAAGGCAAAGATATTAACTTTTACCACTTTTATTCAACATTGTACTAGGCCTCTTATCCACAGCAATAAAGCAAGAAAGAGAACTAAAATAAGCAAAACTGTATTTATTTGCATCCAGCAAATTTTAAGGAACTTAAAAAAAAACTACTAGAACTAATAATAAATTTAGTTCGGTTGCAAAATATGAAGCTACTGTGCAGAATCCCATTGTACTTCTCCAGACTAGCAACAATCAATTAAAAACTATAATTCAAAAATAATTCTGTTGACAATAGCATTACAAATACAAAAGTACTTGATAAAAATTTTAATATGTGAAAAACTGGCATGCTGAAAACTGTAAAATATTGCTGAGAGACATTAAAAATGACCTAAACAAAGGGAGCACTACAACATGTTTTTAGATTGGAAGATTCAATACTTTTAGTTTGTCAGTTCTCTATGATGTTATCAGTATATTTGAGGCACTCTCAATTAAAGTTCCAAAGTGAGCTTTTTAAATGTTGACAAGGTAATTCTGCAATTCATATGAAAGATTTAAAAAAAAACCCAAATGTAGAAAAACCAAACAAATTTTGAAAAGAAAAGAAACAGTTGGAAAATTTATTATATGCAAGTTGAAGTCTTATTATAAAGCTGCAGTAATCAAGACAGCATGGTATTGGCAAAAGAATAGAAATACAGATCAAATGAAGGGAACAGGAAGGTTATTCAATGGATAATTTTGATACTGTTTCAGCATTCATAAAAAGATAATTTTATCAACAAATAGTGCTGAAATGAATGGATATCTATGTGAAAAATAAAGAACTTCAGTCCATACTTCAAGCCATACACAAAAATTTACTCTAAATGGATCACAGACATAAATGCAACAGCTAAAATTATAAACTTCTGGTAGAAATCATAGGTGAAAATCTTCATAACCTTGGGGTAAGCAAAGACATCTTAGATAAAACATGAAAAGCACAACCATAAAAGAAAAAATTGATAATTAAACACTGTCAAAAAAAAAAACTTCTGCTAATTGAAAAGCATTATTGAGAAATTAAAAGGCAAGAGACAGACTGGAAGAGTATATTTGCTATACACATATCTGACAAAGACTTGATATCCAAAATATATGAAGAACTCCTACAGTCCAATAATAAGAATACAAATGATCTGATTAGCATACAAAGAAGAGCTTATGTTGATCCTTCTCAAACTCTTTTAAAAGACTGAACAGAAAAAAAAAAAAAAGACCGAACAGGAGGGAACGTTCCTCCCAACTCATTCTATGAAGCCGTCATCATCCTGATACCAAAACCAGACAAAGATGCTACCAAAAAAGAAAATTACAGGCCAATATCATCAATGAACATAGACGCAAAAATTCTCAATAAAATATTAGCAAACAGAGTCCAACAACACATGATCAAGTTATATTCAGCCCAAGGACACAAGGATGGCTCAAAAAACACAAATCAATCAATGTGATACATCACATCAAACAAAAGAAAGGACAAAAATCACATGATCATCTCAATAAATGCAGAAAAAGCATTTGATAAAATTCAATGCCCATTTATGATGAAAACTCTTACCAGTGTGGGTATAGAGGGAACATATATCAACATAATAAAAGCTATTTATGACAAATCCACAGCCAACTTAATACTCAATGGTGAAAAGTTGAAAGCCTTCCTGCTAAAATCTGGAACAAGACAAGGATGTCCACTCTCACCACTTCTATTCAACATGGTATTGGAAATCTTAGTAGAGCAATCAGATAAGAAAAAGAAATGAAAGGAGTCCAAATTGCAAAAATTGTGGTATATCCATACAATGGAATAATACCAATAAACAGAGAACAAACTGTTTACACAAACAGCAACATTGATGAATCTTGGAAACATTATGCTGAGCGAAGGAAGCCAGTCATAAAAGAATACACAGTTTATGTATGATTCCATTGTAGAAACTCTAGGAAATAAAATCTAATCTCTATCTCTATATAAAGCAGCTCAGTGGGCCAAAGATGAGATGAAGTGGAGAACTGCCTTCAAAGGGGTACAAGGGAACTTTCTAGGGTAATGGAATTTTTCATTATCTTGATTGCAGTAGTGGTTACATGAGTGTATATATTATTCAAAACTCATCAAACTGTATCCTTAATATGAGTGCAATACATTGAATGTAAATCTTGTCTCGATAAAGTTAATTTTAAAAAATCAAAGGAAGTGGAGCAACCAGGTTTCATAAAACATAAAGCAGGGTAGATTTGGGGAATGAATGCTGTGACCTAATGGCCAGTCTCTTGAGCACTGTCATGTGGATCAATCAGCTCCGATTTATTATTCCTTGTGCTGCTCTGATCAAAGTTAGGATTCCTGGCAGAGAAAGTCTGAGGGGACTAGGTTAGATCAGGTGCCCTCTCTTGGACAGGGAAAAGCTGGACCATCCTGACTGACCTTCTCATCCAGACTGCCTTGAGTGTGCACGGTTGGTCCCCTAAAGAAAAATGAAGGCAGTTAACCGAAAGAAGGGACAACGAAGTCTGGGAAACAAGCAAACATAATCTTCCCCTCTTGTTTTCAGGGGTGACCAAGGGGGATGGGAAGGGACTTCAAGCATGTATATATTCGTTCATTCCATTCAGGCACCATTCAAGTTTGCTAGGTCCTGTTACTGACTGAGGACGTGTATGTGTTGGAGGACTCTGTAAAAAGAGAAGAGTTCATATTAATGTAAAGAACAGAAACTTGGTAGAAAAGGATCATCTGGCATGAGTATGAAGCACTAATCTTTCTGGGTGGGGTGGACACGGGGAGAGGATGGAATTCAGCTTAGCATAAAAAAGAAAGAAAGAAAGAAAGAAACACTTTGCACCAATAAGAAGTTTGTATATTCTTGGTTCGTTCTCATGCAGGGTAATTCTTCAGTAAGAAAGAGGAAGGTGATCAGGCAGAGAAGTAGATGACAGAATTCATGTCCTGCCCAACACACAGAGAGGGAAAAGCCTTTTCATCGGTTTAACTTTCTATGGTTGGGTCTCCAGGGGCCTCCCTGGCGAGACAGCAGAGGGAGCCATTCCCCAAGAAATCTCCGCGCGGGGCCTCTTAGAGGGCCTGGAGGGATTCTCCTGTGGATCGAGGGAATTCTCTCTCCTCCCCGCCTCTGTAAAGCAGGCCCCCTCACCCCCACCCCCTCGCCCCACCTCCCTAACCACTTTGTTGCTGCATCGCACTCTTGTACCGCTAGCTCCCCCATCCCTTCTCCACCCCACATTTGCGCTCCCTCCCTGGCACCGCGGGGAACGTGCCATCCCCTCTAGCTGGTCATTCGGGTGCTGTCCTCAGTCCCCGTCCCCCGACCAAATCCTCATAGCGGGTCTAGAACACCTCTGGAGACTTTGACACTGGGGTGCTAAGAGTGGGTCGGGACGCAGACCGGCACTCTCTCCGCCACCTTTTGATTTCACATGCTGCGGTGACCCGAAGGTTTGCCAACTTGGTAGCCAGACTCTTGGCGGAATCACTCCGGGGAGGTGGAAGCCGCTTAGGACGGGGGGACCCGCGATCGAGGCGCAGGAGTCGGGCGGGGAGGATCCTGCCGGTGGCTCTAGGGGCTCCGCGCGGCGCCAAGCGACGCCCTCCTCCCTCGGTCACTGTCCCGGCGGCAGCAGCTGCAACAGCGGCAACTGCTCACATCCCGGCCCGGCTCGGGTTACTCCCCTCCTCCTCCAGCATCTCGGGCCAGACGGAGAAAACCTTACTCAAGTTTGCAGCGAGTACTTTCCCGGTACGCAGAACTGAGGGTCTGGAAACGTGCAGAGACCGGCGTCCTTTCCCGCGCATCTCCACGTTTGAGCTTGAACCAAGACTCGAGTGCCGCTCTCTTCTGGGACGCTGCTTGGAGGCTAAGTGCGCTGTTTGGAACAGATTTTTGTTTCTCTGCTGGCGTTGCTTGAAAACCAGGGCAAAAGGGTTGCGCTGTGAACCTCAGAATCTCGGGTAAGAGTTGGGCAAACTCAGTTCTGGCAGCCGCTGGACCCTGGCCGTTCGCTGGGTATTTTCTTAAGGGTGAGGGGCGCATTTTCCTTAGCCAGGATACCTGGGTGCCGTATGAGGCGGGGCGAGATGGCTCAGTCTGGCTTGTTTGCTTATTTCAGGGGTTTATTGTTAGTGTTACCATTTGGTCTTGTTACTTGGGGTTGGATAGGAACTTCTTGTAGTATTTTTGATGGGGAGACAGACACCTGCATTACACATTTTATTTTGCATAATTTCTGCCCTTGTATTGCCTTCTCTTTGTTGGTTCTGTGTTGACCCATGTCATAGCTGGGTGTAGGGAGGTTTGGGGAGGATCAGACAGAGAACGAAAAGAAGGGGGGCCCTTGCTTCCAGGTCAGCTTTACTCCTCCCCTGGGATCCTGACTTGTTTTCTAAACTTCTCTTTCTCCAGTACTTGATATTCAGATGGTGCGGTGGGTCAGACGTGGGATGCTCCCTCTTTCTGCGCCCTCGGGGCCCTCAGGGGCATCAGGCTCTCAGGCTGGGTGACTTACACTGAAGGGGTCTCTTACTTGTTTGAATACCTGGCCCCTCAGAGAGTGTTGGGAGGGGCGATTCTTCCAGCCACAGTTACCATGGAAATGTCTATCTACTGTTGGTCTTTTAAATTCCTTTGATTAGGAGTCTCACCCCTGGTTTAGAGATATTTCGTCTTTATTTTTCTTTCTGGAAGTAAGAGTGTAACCACTGAGTAAATGAAATATAGAGATATATTTGATACTTCTTTAGAAAATATCCCCACTCGAGTACCCAGATTCTTCAGGGGAAAGTCAAAGTTTGAGATTTTATTAGCCCTGAAATTTCCAGGCAGTGATGCCATGCTATATCCCAAGGCAGAGAAGAATGACCTCCCCTTTTGGCTTTCCTGGCCTTTCTCCTTTATATCCAGAGTCTCACTTTGTGTATGGTGTTTCTGACTAAAGATTCTTCGTTCCTTATGGATGAAAAGACTGGGACTGGATCATTTTCCTAATGTGACTGCTCCAAGAGGTCAGCTTGCAGGGTACTTTTTGCTGTGATGCTACGAGGTCAGAGAGTTCAGTAGAGAAGATGTTCTGAGACTAGGCGGCTTGTGGGCAACTCAACTCTGCCTCTTTCCAGTTGTGTGATTCTGGGTGTTAATTAACCCCTCTCTCCTCATCTGTAAGATCAGAATGGTAATAACAATGCTTACACCAGAGGGTTGTTCAGAGGATTAAAGGAATTAATATGTGTGGAGTGCTAACAAGCCTGGCAGTTAGTAAACATGTATTATCTAATATTATTACTACTATTTTTATTATTATTGCCTGTTATTTATTATTTTTATTTTATGATGATATAGCTTTTATTAGTTGTTAGTATTAGCTATTCTTCCTATTTGAATGGGCTTTGAAAGCTGTGCTTCACTTCTACCCAGAACGTGATGCATTATCTGACATTGCTGTGTCATGGTCTTGGTATTGCTTTCTGCTGGGGCCCCTTCAGAGGAAAAAAATGGTACATGTGGCAGGGCTGGGACTTGCAAAGGAGGGGTGCTGGTTGGGTACCAAAGGATGCTTGGGAGAGGCTAGCAGGTGGGAAATCTGGCCCCTCACTGTTTACAACCCCTAAAATACATTGCCTTAGAAACTCCTTACATTGCTATACCTCCTTTAACCTATTTTTTTAGAGGTCAATCATTTGTTCAATAAATATTTATTAAGCATCTATTACAGTTCAAGGGCTGTTCTAGGTTCTATATTATTTAAGTTCGGAGGCTTCATTTTAGAAATTTATTTGCTTTATGCTTTATGCCAAACCTCCCGACCCATGCCAGACAAACACATACGTACACACACACCTCAAACTTAGGGCTTCACGTGGCACTGGCACTCTATAAATTAAACTGGAAATACTTTTTAACCCTAATTATTTCAATACCTGTTAAAATGAAGAGCACGTATGGTTGAGGACTTGAACAAAACATTCAGTATAACCTCTAAGCAGGGCACTTCTCCCAGCAGCATCATTGTGTGTACACTTGTGTGGGGAGGTGGGAAAGAGCTGGATGATCTCTGGCACTCCTTCTGCCTCTAACATCCTTAGATTAAGCTGCCTTAGTTCAACTGGCAGCTGTTTTTGAACATTTTTTTCTTTTAACATTTGTTTTAAGTACATAAATTATGTGACTTAGATCATTACATGTCAATCAAGGTAAGTAATGACACTGATAATTAACGAGAAAGGAAACGCATTTAGCTCTGCTTGTATTTTCATTAACTATTGTCAGCCTTTGATGTACATCAGAAGCATGGAGCAGGCCTTGTTAAGAGTATTAGTTTGAATTGTGAGAAATTGCCAAAATCTGACTATGTTTGACCTACATAAAATGGTGATTTCATGTAGTGCAACCAAGTGTAAATCCTAGCCATCTCTGCTTGGACTCAGGTGCAGTAAGTCTTGGGTGTGCTGTGGAAAGTCTGCAGTTTTACAAGCTCCCTGGATGGTCGTAATTCAAGCCCCAGTCACATGCTCCTTGAGCAGCAGCAAGTTTACTTTCCTTATGATTGTCTAATAGTGTATTTCTGAAACATAAATCTGATTGTCATTCTCATGTTTAAAAATCTTAGGTGGCTCCCCAAATGGTAAGCATCTGTGTCACCTGGCGGCTTATTGAAAATGCAGATTCCAGAGCTTCATCCCAGATGTAAGGGCCAAAAATCTGCATTTGAGCAGATTCCCAAGTGAATCTGGTAGAGGTGACCACCAGTCACATTTGGAGACACACTGGCGTATAGCATAAAGCCTAACCTTTTTAACATGATATACAAGACTGGCCTCATGTCATCTTCTCTGTGTTGTTACCTTACTTCCCTGTTCCCCAGCCCTTTAGCCCCACTGACCTTGATATTGTTCTTTAAAGAGTATGTGGTCTCTTACTTCAATAAAAAAAAAGTATATGGTCTCTTTCACTCCTCTCTCACCCAGCTGTGAATGCTGTTCCCTCTGCAGGAAAGGTCTTGTTCCTCGTTTTGGTTTAACCAACTTCTTACTACCCATTTGTCCTTCAAGATGCAGTTCAGTTACGACCTCCCATCTGAAGCTTTTCCTAATTCTCTTGCAAAATATGTAATATGTCCTGTGATTCCTGTTCTGCTTTGTGAATAGCTTTATCATATTGTATCAACTATGTTTATTACATGAGTTTTTCTCCAACCAATTGTTGAGTCTATCATCCCTTATTCTAAGCCTTTATCCAAAGGGCCAACACAAAGTAGCTAGATAATAAATGCCTAAAGAATGTGGAAGAATGAATGAATCAACGCAGGTGACATTTTCTTAGTGCACCAACTGTTTGGGATCGTCACTTTGTATGTGTTACCGGTTGTGGAGAAGCTATTCAAGAATTTACAATTTGGCTAGACGTATCTACAAAGTTAATAATCTAGAGTGGAAAAAGGACAAGATAGACTATCCTAAGAAGACTGAGGAAACAGCCAATGCCATTGAATTAATTTTACATGTTCAACACTATGGCAACACTATGATACAAGAACTGAATTTTTCATAACTTTGAAATAGTTTTGGTTGTGAATGGCAGTGTCAAGGCACTGTAATGGTTTGCCCTGTGCTTTTTAGTTTATAAAACACCTTTACACTTGTTTCTGTATTTGATCAGAAACATGGTGACCGGTTCAATATTGTTTTTCCTACTTGAGTACAGGCTGCATTCCTTTAAATAGGCCCAAAGATTGTGTAAAAGCTTACATATTTTAGGGGATGCTGGCCCTAGAGAGACAAATATTTTATAAATTTCTAATTATACCTTGCCACTTAGATACAGTATTCCATGTTTACTTCTTTCTTTTTCTTTCTTAAATGTTCTATAATTTTGGTGTTTCCTCTTCATTTGAACACCAGTTGACTTGTTCAAGTTAAATAAATGTCTGATTCAGATTAAAGATTTAGCATTTTTGGCATGTCCAATATCTTCCTTCTTTGTCTCACATATTAAGCTTATGAGACAAAAACTTGTTCCAGTTATGATTAAGTTTTTCATTTTTTTCATTTTCCACTCATTTATTTTCATAATAATGGAAATATGCAATAATATTTGAACAAGTGAACATATGGCAGAGTAATGACTGAGAAAGTGACGCTTTGAAAATTGAACTTTTAGCTCATTGGCAGCTCCACTGTAAAATAAACAAAAAAAAAATGTTCATTCATAGTCTGATGTTTGAGAGTTCCAGTGACATAGGGCAGGAAGGTAGCGGCATCAATGCACAAGGTACAAACATCCAGATTGTTTGGACTTTGAACAGAGCAGTGTTGAGAACTGCCTCTGCTCTCATTTTCTCTAGGCTGTATACCCAGTATTTCATTTTAAAAATTAGCTTAGCTTTCAGAATTAATGCAACAGTCATTGGGTTCTGTTGATGTGTCTTCTTTTTCAATTCTGTTTCCAGCATGCACTTTTTCTGCCTTAGTTTAAGCTTGCACCTGGCTGTTCTTTTGTAAGTCTCTTCACTGGTCTCCTAATCTCTTTATTCATTCATTTATTCGTTTATTCTCTCTCTCTGAATTTCCCAGGATGTTGCATTTATGTCTTGTCTCTCTTTTCTTCCTAATTTAAGATTATTTTTCACTGTGATCATTCTCTTTTTAAAAATAGTTATTGCAGAGGATTATAGTGCTTAGTAAATGGATTTCTCATATTATGAGGAAAAAAATAAGATGCAAACCAATGTTAATTTCCTTGATTACAATTTTATTTGTAAAACCACAGGTCATAGTGTGGTTGTTATTTGATGACACATACTCTGTGCCATTAGCCTGTCTGGAAAGTGTGAATGTGATAATATATCCTGTTATTATCAATTGTCGTTTCTAGTGATTTCCTCTCTTGTTTCATTTCCAGTGATTTATTCTCCTAGATACAGAAACTATGTAAAGCATTTTAACCACCTCAATTTCCT